AAAAAAAAAAAATAAAGATAAATAAAGAGAAAAAATTCATTAGAAAAATAATTTAAAAAAATGTTAAACACTATTAAAAAGATATCTAAGATAAATATTTCAAAAACTTATTTTTTTAACTATGTGAATTCGTGTATATTTTTTTAATGTAATACAAGTATTTTTTCAATTAGAATTATTTAAAAAATGTATCTTTAAACAAGAGTAGGCTTTCTTTTTATATTATTTGAATTATTTAAAATATAAGTTCATGCATAATAAAAATTTATAACTTCTAATATTAATGTTTTTTACTACAATACGAAACTATGTATTATTTTATAAATATTATTATTAATAAAAATAGGTGCAATGATAATTATAATAAAATAATCAGTTTTATTAACACAATTATTTTAGTAGGCTTGTCACCGTTTTTTCTTTAATACAAAAATATGACCTATTTTTATCTAATTACGATATATATTTGGTAATGTGATCAATTTATGCAAAAATTATGAGTAAATTGTTATATAGCTAATATCACGGGTAATAAATATATTATATTATTAATAGATTTATTTAGTTATATAAAATACCGTTTAATTCGTTAATAATGATTAATTAATTTAAAATAAGCAGATCAATTATGTTTATTTTAATTATATTTATTTATACTTACGTAAGAAATTAATTAATTATATGACAAGTCATGGCATTTGAAAGTTAAATACTCAAGTATATTTCCATTAGCATTTTGCAGATCATTTATTGCGATCTTTAGTTGCTAGTGTTTAAAATAAAAAATTGTAATTCATATTTTTCTCTTACGAGCAAACAAAATTTCGTTTATATTGGATTAAATATGAATATAATAACGTGATGCTAACAAGAATTATTGGTAAATATGATAAACTTAGAAATTTATCATATCTTAAAGGTTCATGCATACACAAGTAATATGAGAGCAAAATGTAACTAAATCTAATTTCGCTCATTATAATTTCTCTACTGCAAGATTTAATATTTTTTCTTTACTGCTAGAAATGTAATTCGAGTTTATATAAACCTTGTTTATTTATTTATTTTTCCATAGAACATTGCTTTGATCTTTAGTATTCGTTCTTCTCCATATCCTTTTAAAATTTGTTAAATTATAATTTCTTATACTTTGCTATATTTTCTATTATTTTCTTTTTTTTATTTTCTGTTTTAAGTAGGATATATTAAAATCTCTTAAAATAAACAGAAATTGAAACTACAATTACAAATAATTTTTAATATTAGGAAGCAAAGTTATTATAGCTGTAATGTATCGTAATTTTTGCATAATTAATTTATCATAAAAACAGTTTTTAAAGTAGTACATGATATGAAATGATAAAATAAAATGTATATAATTTAATAAAAAGAAAAGAAAATTGGCTATCTTAGCTTGTACAATTTGTGCGAATGAAGTTCGTAAAAAATGATTAAGTACTTTAAAAGAATATGAAAGAAAGTTTTGAAGATTTTATTTTTATGTCTGAAACCATAAATAAATAATAATATGTAAAATCATGTGGTTTCTTATGCTTATCTAACAATTTTTGGGAAAATATTTTAATATTTCATAATAATAAGTAATATTAGACAGAAATATCTATTTTACAAATATTTCAATTATACATTTTATGTGCTTATTTAATGCATTAATAAAACTCAACATAAGAAATAAAGGAAATATATTTTTACGAGAAAAATAGAAATCGCGTTTAGAACATGTGGAATATATACACATACTTAGATATAGGATGTAATTTTGTTTTAGAAATATAAGACTTTAACAAAATTTCTATATAATGTCAAAAGGCTACTCTTTGCTATAATTTATAATCATAATCAATGTAGTAGAAGATTATCAGATCATTTTTATTATAATAAATACACTTCGACGTGTAATTTAACAATCTGTATCTTTTTATAACAACAAATATTACTTTTCGGACAAGGATGGCATCTATGATGCTAACAAGAATTATTGGTAAATATGATAAACTTAGAAATTTATCATATCTTAAAGGTTCATGCATACACAAGTAATATGAGAGCAAAATGTAACTAAATCTAATTTCGCTCATTATAATTTCTCTACTGCAAGATTTAATATTTTTTCTTTACTGCTAGAAATGTAATTCGAGTTTATATAAACCTTGTTTATTTATTTATTTTTCCATAGAACATTGCTTTGATCTTTAGTATTCGTTCTTCTCCATATCCTTTTAAAATTTGTTAAATTATAATTTCTTATACTTTGCTATATTTTCTATTATTTTCTTTTTTTTATTTTCTGTTTTAAGTAGGATATATTAAAATCTCTTAAAATAAACAGAAATTGAAACTACAATTACAAATAATTTTTAATATTAGGAAGCAAAGTTATTATAGCTGTAATGTATCGTAATTTTTGCATAATTAATTTATCATAAAAACAGTTTTTAAAGTAGTACATGATATGAAATGATAAAATAAAATGTATATAATTTAATAAAAAGAAAAGAAAATTGGCTATCTTAGCTTGTACAATTTGTGCGAATGAAGTTCGTAAAAAATGATTAAGTACTTTAAAAGAATATGAAAGAAAGTTTTGAAGATTTTATTTTTATGTCTGAAACCATAAATAAATAATAATATGTAAAATCATGTGGTTTCTTATGCTTATCTAACAATTTTTGGGAAAATATTTTAATATTTCATAATAATAAGTAATATTAGACAGAAATATCTATTTTACAAATATTTCAATTATACATTTTATGTGCTTATTTAATGCATTAATAAAACTCAACATAAGAAATAAAGGAAATATATTTTTACGAGAAAAATAGAAATCGCGTTTAGAACATGTGGAATATATACACATACTTAGATATAGGATGTAATTTTGTTTTAGAAATATAAGACTTTAACAAAATTTCTATATAATGTCAAAAGGCTACTCTTTGCTATAATTTATAATCATAATCAATGTAGTAGAAGATTATCAGATCATTTTTATTATAATAAATACACTTCGACGTGTAATTTAACAATCTGTATCTTTTTATAACAACAAATATTACTTTTCGGACAAGGATGGCATCTAAAATAATATATATTATAATATATTATATATAATCAAAATTAGTTCAGAATTGACTTATTATTCGGTATACATATGTAATACATAAAGGATATCCCGCGCGTAATTTAAAAGAATTATTTCTTTAAAGCAGTTAGAAACAGAGAAAGAGTTATAAAACAAATGTAAAAATTGAAAGAAAACTATGCGTTGTATATTATTATATTAATTTTATATACTTGTATATTTAAATAGTACAATACATCTAGTTTTAAATATAGTTTTGTAACTTTGAATACAGTATAATTATAGACCAAAATTAAAACTGAATTAATTATTAAACTGACAGTTTTAAAATATATGTTATAATTTTTAATATTCTTTATAATAAGTAAAAAATTGTATTAATTAATAAAAAAAAGTGTATCAATTATTCTGTATTATTGTATTAGTAATAAAATAACAATAAAATCTAAATATGTAGAGACTTTAATAGATACTTCATCTGAAAAAAACATCGGAAGAAAAAAATAATGCTTTAAGGATAGAATATACGATACATCCGCTTATGTGAAAAAATTTATTAGTCGGTGAATTAGTTATAAACTTACGAATTACAAATTTATACTATTGTATACATTTTAATATTCGTATTTTCTAATATTTACAAACCATTTATACATGTAAAATGAGTAGAAATAATAATAGCAATTAACAAAAATAATTTTTATATGCAATAAATAACGAAATATTATATTAAATATTATTATAGGAATATGCAGCTACAGCAATGAGTGAATTATTGGGATGGTATGGGTATGAGAAAGTGGATAGTGGTTGTACAAAAAGTTTAAACTTGGATCATTTTACAACTATACCTAATACAAAAAGTAGTCAAGTATTTCAAATTGATCAAGATATTGTTCCAAGTAAATTAACATTAAACTCTCCATCAGTGAATACATCTAACTCAGTTTTTGAAGTTTCCAATATCCCTTTATCTTATTCTAATAGTAATTTAATGTCTATGAATACACAATTAATATCATCCCCCTTATCATTGAAACCAGTGTCTTTTGAATCTACATCTAAAATACCATATGAAAGTTATTCAAATCCTACTGATTCAGGTAAAATATAAAATATATATATATAAAGTTCTTTTGCAATTTGGTAAATCCTAATATATTTGTTATAATGTTTAATACTTTTATAGATAATATGTCTTGTTCATGGTGTGGTAAAATTAGTCAAACATGTGAATCAGGAAGATCCAATTCTCTTTCTTATAATATGATGAATGCTTCGGGACACTTTTGTAGTGAAGCTTGTTTTGCAGCTGGTACAAGAGCAGTTTTTAACCGAGGAAAAACATGTGATTGGTGCAGACATATGCGAAATCCAATTAGTTATGTTGATCTTCAGGTATGTAAATTAAATATCAAAATTTTAAATTAAAATTCTATACTGTAATATACTATGAATAGTATTTGTTGTGTTACAAAATTATTAACTGTATTCTTTTTTCAGGATGGTGAAAGTCAACTTCAATTTTGTAGCAACAAATGCTTGAATCAATACAAAATTAATATTTTTTGCCATGAAACACAAACTCATTTAATGTTGCAAGGTTTAAATAATGTTTCATTTCATGATACAGAGAAAGGTGGTTTAATAACACCAGAACTTTGGTTTCGAAGTTGTCAATCACCAATAAATATTCCTACAGAGGATACATACCTAGTTGATGCACATTTAACTCGTAGTTTATCACCACCTCTTCATGACAATAAGACAACAGACACTGAACAAAATTTTGATAATCAAAAATCAATAGATCTTAATAAAAAAGTATCCAAGAGAAAAGATTCAATGTGCATGAGAAAACACACAAAATCTAATTCAAATGAACAAAAAAGAGACATTTATGCAGAGATTAATGAAAATAATATTAATGAACATGATAAAAAGCAAATTTTAATAAATAAAAAGAATAAATGCTGCCATTTCATGATTAATCAAGCTCATTGTAAAGTAAATTATGCAGAGAAAGATGACTTGAATTGTAGAGATTTAAAAAAGGAATGTATGGCGGATGTTATAAACCATAATACACATTATGAAAACAGCAATACATTTTTAAAAAGGAACATACACGTTAAAAATATAAAAAATTTACAAGAAAATAAACATGGCAGTTTATCAGAAAATATGTTACAAGCACCATCTTACTTCATAAATTCAGCCACACCTATAATGCGTCACGAAATTCCACTTTTATCTAAGTCTTGTACAGATGAATCTAGTCAAACAAAATATCAAAAACAAACTATGTCTTCAAGAACTTCATTATCTAAACGATCAAATCAAACAGAATTGTTTCATTCGCTGTCTACAACAATTTTGCCTCCTGTTACAGTTCTCATACCATATCCTTTACCTATACCTATACCAATTCCTATTCCTATTCCAATTCCTATATCAACAGCAATTTTTAGTAAATTATTAACTGATAAAGAAGATTCTTTAAATATTAAAGATTCAAATTGTAAAAATATGGAATGTAAAAACTCAATAGGAAATAAATGTTCTGTGTCCGATAACTCACAGATTACAACAACAAATGTATCAACAACAGAAAGCCTACCACAAGTGACATTGGATAAATTTTGTTTTTCATCATCACTTTCTAAACCTAATAATGAAACCAATAATGATGAGCATCATTTACAACAGCATACAAGGCTTTTAAGGAAAAGAAAACGCTCAAATGAAATCATTAATCATGCACATGAAAAAATTCAATTAAAAAAAAAGAAATAAATTTATAGCAACTTAAAAGACAATTTATAAGAAAATATTTTTTAATAAAATGTATACATTAACAGAAAATATTTTTTATTTGTAATTAATAACTAAAAAGTAACATTAATAGATAATTTTTTTTATCTTAAATGCAAATGAATATTTTAGTAATTATAGTAACTTTTAAAAATATAGTAATTAATATTAGTTTTCTTAATTAAAAAGCGTATCTCTTAAATAATAAAAAATATTCTATACTCCATTTTAATTAGTTTTTGGCTTACAAATTTAAATACAAATAGAGAAGTTTTCCTTGAATAACTAATATCTTAATTAAATAGAAGTAATATAAAAAAAGAAATAACTTTTTTGATTTAGTATTGATATATACATCAATATATAATATTTTAATAACAAGATAGTAACTGATATGATAATGTTTTTAAATATTTTTTTGCAATTATAATTTTCTTTTAAAGTTGTTGCATATTAAAAAAAATTTACTTAGGGATATATTTCAGAAAGATTTTATGGTTCATATTTATTATATTTTTTTAATAAAGTATATTACTCTTTTTATATCTTTGTATAATATTCATATAAATAAATGTTTATATGATAATCATTTTTAACATATTAATAATATAACTATATATTTTAATTATCATAATGTACAAAAAGAATAAAAATGATTTCCTTAACAAATTTTATTTATATTTTTCTTAACATTAAATTTACTTCGTAATTATAAAAATATTTTTGTTAGAGAAATTTTTATTAAAAAATAAAGACAAAATTATAATTACAATTTTGTAATAATAAACAACAACCAAGTGTGTTTTTATTTAAAAAATACTAAAAACATCTACAATATTATATTAATTTAACTCCACAGGTATACTTATACGTTACTGATAAGCAAATAAGCCGTTTCATGTAAGTAAGTACTATGCTTCCACAAGAAGGCACAACGTATTTATATCCCCATTTCTGTCCCAGTCAGCTGACACTCATATAATAGCAGCAGATAGACAAAATAATGGCAGCATTGGTATAAACTTCCAATTTAAATGTTAGCTATTAGGAAACAGAAAGCTAATATCACGATTGAAAGATTACATCGATGCTGCCATTATTTTGTCTCACTCACAAGGAAAGTGCAAGTCCTTCGCGTCACCGATTTAGTTGAAACTTTGCAGGTTATAGATATGGTCATACAGTTTAAAAAAATATATCATTATAACCGTAACTACTGAATAGTTTTTGAGATATTTATGATTAAAATTTCATTACTTCTTTAATTATATGATGGAGGACCGGAGTTCGATTCCCGTCTATAGTTGGTAGCTTTTTTCAATTTATTTTTCATTTTGTATTCATTTTTCGTCTATGAAAACATTGTAAATAAACAATTATAAATAAAATTTCTTAATAAAAAAATTTATTTTTTACGCTTCCTTATGCTAGTATATATTTATTACAGAATAATAAGAATATTTGCAAGAAAAACAATTTTCTATAGCAATCTTATTTATTACAGAAAGGACACGAAAATATAATCATTAGATACAGGAAATACAAAATCTATTGCTCATGTAAGTATTAATTATTAAATTAAACATTGTATAAGAATGTTGCCTATAATTCCAACTTTGCTGTGCAGCTATAAATGTTCACGAATCAATTGCAAAAACTTGGAAACTTATTAATTTTCTACTGTCCAATTGATTTATTAAGATATATTAGGAACACATAACCAAAAGAGGTATCTAGTTCAAATAAAAATTTTACTGCCTGCGATCAGCGCCATCTATAATTTTGGACCATATGCTCGGAAAAGTAATAGGAATATAGAATAGGTGAGGAGGTCGTCGAAGAGCTCGTCACGTGATAGACAAGAATAGAGATTGAATAGAAAAGGATAGAAGGGTTCCGACAGAGAAAAATTAATAAATTGCTCAATTTTCGTAATTAATTTATGAACTTTTATAATTTCATTGCAAAGTTAAAACTTTGAGCAACATTCTTATGTAATTTTCGTACATAATTTGCAACGAATTAGTAATTTATTAATTATTGTTTAATGGTGTCCATGATTTCGTAACGACAACTATCGCGATCTTCCGTGAAAATATATAATACTAAATGAAACTAGAAGCAAAATGTGATCAAAAGTTATGTGAGAAGATTCGCAAGAACATTGTCTTTCTAATGAGTGCATAAGGTTTCATAAATTAATTGCGTAGAGGATAGTAATTAATGAAAAAAAAAAAAGAGGATAGTAATAATTAATTAATTAGGGACAAATTTCTATCGAAAGTTATATTGGAAAGTTCTTGAAGGACCTACCTTTCCGATGCAATTATAAAAGTTCATAAATTAAACACAGATATTGAGTAGTTAGTGAATTTTCTACTGCCGATTTGATTTATTAAAGTATCAGTAACATCAGAGCCATCTATATTCTCATTGCGGAACTCGAGCTTTGAGTTTAATGTCATAGACGGCTCTTTTTAATTGTAACCATTTAATTATATTTTATTTATGATAAATATAGTAAAAGAAATTGAAATTAAAAGATCTTTATAATTAACTGTATCACAGCGTTGTCCATTACAGCACATAAATCTGACCCATTCGAAACACTTGAGTATTTTATAGATTGTAATACTAAACTATATGATATAGCGTACCATACCGTGTGTGATAAGTTATCTAATGTATGACATTTAACCTGCGAAGTCATAATAAATTATATATTAACATGAAAGTGCATAATTAAATAGAAATATGGAAGATTTTTTTGTATTGCATATTATATTTTAATATATGATTAAATATGGTGTCATATCCATCAATTAACATAGTAGATTCAATAATTGACGAGGTGGCATTAGAAGGTTTGGATGGTATTACTATAGAAGGTTTGTATAAATATTAATATTTATTTTAAATATAATGTTTATTATTATTTATTGTTTTGTAAAACATTTTCTAATAACACATTTATTAATTGAACATTTTTATATTACTTGTCATATGTAATATTTAAAATTTAGTAAATGTATTCATTATTTTTCAAATTGTATTTATCAACTTTTATCTAATTTTTTATTATTTTTTATGAATATGTTAGTATTTATATATAATCTTATTTCTGTTAGCGCTATGGTTACGTTTAGCACACAGACTGCACAATCCTATACCATTTTCAAAGCCATTTATGATTCAAATATGGTCAGTGTGTGTTCAAATCCGAGAATTGGAATTTTATGAATTAGAAACTACAAGAGAGTCACTTGTAATTTTTGATCGTTATCAATTTGTAGATCCTGATTTAGGTATTATATTGGAACCAGTAAGTATTTTGAAGAAAATTAGATTAAATTTTAGTAATTTATAAGAAATATAAGAAACTATACATTTTTCTAGGAAAATGTACCACCAGACATTTATCCACATTGCCCAGTGCATGATGTTGTAAATGATATTAAAGGATCATGTTCTACTTATTATACTAGGAAAGATATTACAAGACTTGTAAGAAACTTCAGCTTAGATGAAGCTATAGAAAAATATGGACAAAAATTAGTTATTGTTGCATCACAATCTGCTAGAAATCACGCACTGATGGGAGATGAAGTATCTCCTATACTTGAATTAAATGTAATACAGTATTGTTTCCTAGAAAGAGTAGGAAGATCTCGATATCATGGTGAAGTTACCCAGGGAAAACTTAGTCTTAATGCATTGAAAGAAGATCCTAAAAGTTTATTTTATCATCGAAAGTTTTTACTACGCCATAAACTAATAACAAAGCAAATACATCATCAAAAGAGTGGTAGTTATAGTTGTAATGGAAGCCTTTTACATCTTCCACGATTCTTTGTTGAAAGAAAACCAAAAATAATTTTTTTGGCTGAAGAAGTTATAAAAATTCTTAAGTCAAAACCTAATTGCGTTGCAGAGTATGATGAAATAAAACGCAAGTTGCAAATTGAAAATGCAATAAAAAAATTATTTAAAACTTCATTTTTCCAAAAAGTTGTGAAAACTGATATTGTAAGTAATATTATATATTTGGTTATTTATATAATTAGTTATATAATAATAGTTATTTTAATAATTTAAAAAATCTGTATATTTAAATAAGAGAGTACCATATAGAACTTTATATCCTAATGCAACACCAGTAGAATGGCAGCAAAAAAATAATCCTACAAAGGAAAAGAAGATTAAAGTAGTACAGTTATTATCTCCAAATATTGATATTCTTGAAGCTTGGAATAAAGATGAAATACAAGAAGAAGATGAACTTCAAGGTTTGCTTATGACTTTTATTTTATAACATATTAGCATTAATAAAATTTGTTTTATAAAATTAAATAAATAGAAGTTATTTAAAGTATTTTAGGAATTATCAATTGAGAATTATTCTTATTTATCTTTAACAAAAATATTATATTATTTAATTTTAATACATTTCAAATACTATATGTATAATTTAATTGATTATAAATTAATTTTTTGAATTAGTATCATTTGAAAATCATCTATATTCATAAAAAGTAGATATAAATGTAGTGTTAAGATATAAAAATTATACATTTTTCAATTTATTTAGAGTAATTATTCTTTGTCTATATTATTCTATATTATTCTATATTGTTGTCTATATTATTGTTCTCTCTATTCTATATATTTTAAATTTGTTATGTATTATTATATTGTTTCCTTTCTAGAATTAAACATCTCAAATCATAAATATGGAGTACCTTATTTAAAACAAGCAAATACGATAATTGAAGCTAATAAAATTGATGGTGTATGCCAAGGAAGTTTAGCTAAGATAATGGGACTGACAAAATTACAATCTCGGACGATTTTACGAAATATAGTTAAAACCAATATTGTTGCTACTTATATGAATGATATTGGTAGACAGAGACTTACAAAATATGTATCAAAAAAATATGAAAAAGCTAGTAAACTTAGTAAACAATTTAATAAAGAAATGCATAAAATTAAAGAACTTACAAAACAAATTACAACTGAAAGTAATGGTTTAGAAAAAGCTAAAATAGATATAGAGGAAAATAAAAATGCCATTATTAATAATAAAGAAGAGAGTGTGGAAACGATATCTAAATGTAATATAGTCGATAAGGATAATTTAGTAGAAAACGAGTCAAAGACTACAACAATAGAATTGCAAAAAATATTTTATATTGTCAATCGAATATTATACAAATATCATGTAACAAAGCGTCCAAATAGGTATAAATGCACTTTCTCTAATTATTTATCAAGTAAAATTAACAAAATTGAGGTGAAAGAAGAAAATTCATACTCTAATAATACATTATTGGAAATTTCTGAATTATCAAAAAATGAAAAAGCAGTAGCTGCATATAAGAATATAAAAGTTGATTTAACAGTTTTGAAACCTACAAATAAAACGAAATCAGAAAACGAAGTATATGGATTTATGGAGGATGTACAAAATATTGAAAAGAAAAGTGTGACAAATATTACATATAGATTATTGCGAAGAGCTAATATGATTATAGAATCAGTTAAAGAACATCAAGTTATTGATGACATGACGAAATTAATGAAGGTAAAATAATACATTTTATTTACAAATAATTGTACTAATTTTATTTATAAATAATTATTTTCTATTTTTAGATGATACACGAAGAAGAAGATAAAGAAGGTTATGATGTAAAAATTGATAAAAAATCTTTAATTAGATTGTTACAAAAGCTTGCCAAAGATAATTTAGTAAAACATATAAAAATAACTTTGAGTGGAAGTGGGAAAGAGAAACATTTAACATTTATATGTGATCCAAACATTGATATTAAAAGTGGTGTTATTCAATCAGCTGTGGAGCAAGCAAAATTGAAATTCTATTTGGTGGCCTCACAAAAACCTAAATCATCTATGAAACCAAAATTCGAACCTAACAAAAGTTTAAAATCTGAAAATGATAAATCTTCATCCCAACAATCTATAATGGTACCATCAAGTTTCAAATGTGGACCTGTAAGTATTTACCTTGATTTAAATTTACATACCTTTTAATTATATTATTTTAATATTAAGTCTAAGCTTTTTGTTTTAGAGAATATCAAGAAAATACGGATATAGTCCCAAATTTCTTCGTATGCAAGCATTACATATTTTCTTATTTTATTTGGTTTATGAACATCCTGGAGAACAAACTTTTTCAAAAACAGAACAAATCAAACTTTTGAGAAGTAATGATTTTAACATTACTGAAGAATTAGTAGAGGAATTCAGTACAATTTATACTAAAACTGTTAGTTGGAAAATGTTTGTACCACCTTTGCCACAATATAATGGTAAGTTATTTTTATAATTACTTTGTATTTTCAATAGTCATTTGGTTTGTAATTTATTTACAAAAATTATATCGTGAAGTTACATAAAAATGAATAAGTTTTGCATTAGTTATTATAATTTTTTTAAGTTATTCTTCATAACTCGAATTTGCTTTACTAATATTTCGTTTAAATTTATTCTTTAGGTTGGCCCAAAGGATGGACACTAATGTGTGATGTCCTTTTACGACTTCCTTTGTCGATATTCTTAAAGATCCATTACATTTCATTTTCAATACCAGAAATGGATAAATACATAAATCATCCTATTCGGAAACATTATTTAGTTAGAGATTTACCGGTGGATATTCGAAATTCTTTGCTGTATGCTCGAAAATATATATTTCATATTCATGAAACTGTAACAAGATTATGTTATATTGGATTAGTGCAATTTGGGCCTCAAAAGCTGAAAGAGAAAGATCAAGTATTCATTTATGTGAATCGTCATACTGAATTAATGGATACAACATCTTCTGCTCCTAGTTATCATATAATTGAAGATAAATCTTATCCCATAATTAAATATAACTTCGTCGAAATTCAGGTAGTCGAGAAATACTGGTATGATATGTGGAATACATGTATTAATACGCCATTAGGCGGCCGGCTTGTTGTTCAAGGCAAAGATATAGTGTTAGAAGACTTAAATAAAAAGGCTGATATGATTCAAGCAGTAGTAGCCCGCTCTCCAGAAGAAGCTGTAAAATTAGATACTGGTAAAGTACCTGGAGACCGCAAAGGTGCTGCCGGAATAGATTCAGCGTGTTTTGCACATCTTAAAAGAAATTGGAACTGGGGTTTCTCTAGTTCGGGTGTTCGACAAACAAAGAAAGAACAGAATGTAATTTACGAGAGGGATATGTATCTGGCTAAAATAAAGGCAAAACCTATTAGATTTACCGAATTTTCCGGATTGAAAACAGTGTCTGGGCCCCTTTCTTTAAGTGCAACAGAATTCAGAAAGAAAGTCCAAACTAAAAATACTGAAGGTTTAGATCAACAAAATAAATATGAAGCGCTGACATGCCAGCGAAGTACGAAGCAAAAATCCTATGTTAGGAGAGTGTTACCTCGTAAATGTAGTAATAAAAGAAGAACTAAATACGACGAGATTGATTATCGAGCATTACAACGAATGCACAAGTTACGAGTGGATTGGGAACCATACGAGGATAAGATTTTACTTATCTGTAAGGTTGCCATGGTATATCTTTGTCCAAATCCACGTAAACAAGTAATAACATTTTCTGCAGTAAGAGATGTATTACGGACATATTCGTATACTTCACATAACAAAACATCAAGAGCTTGTCAACGTCGACTTTTATATATGCTCAGACAACAACGGAACGTTAACACTGTTGCTTTAGGCGTCGAAGAACTTAAGCAAAATTTTTTCCTTAAAAAGCGCTTTGGTGGCATTGTAGAGAAACTTAAAGAAGAACATAAAAATCCTCATGAATATGAAAAACAAGTTACAGAGGCATTTAAATCACTTATTGCCTACATTGCAAAGAAGTACTATGATATTTCAGATGTTGGATCTAAAGAACCATTACCTGTACCAATGACAGTACAAGAATTTAATTTATTTTACAAAGTTGTACATCCCACAAAACCGTTCTATAATCGTGGATTTACGAAGGATATTCGAAATATCAATGACATACACTCCGCAGTCATAAATTCTGTCATTCATAGTTCAATGTGTTGTGGCAAGGATAGACGATCTTGGGCATATCAATTATTTAAAGTGTATCAGCAGTATCCAGAGATGTTGTTGAGAAATGCTATGGCAAAAATTCGTAGTGATCAAATGGTTACAATTAAAAAGAATCAATTGACTAATATAAGAAAATATGGTAATTATATGCCAATGAGTAGTTCTCAGTATCAGTTAAGTAGTAATTATATATATAAGTTTCACACTAAATGGCCATATGGCATATTTAAGGAATCATATGATGTGTTTCTTCAACTTAGTAATTGGTACTGTCATAATCAAATGAATGATAAAGGTAATGCATCAGATAAATGTAATGGTGTTGAAATATTAACAATTACTGGTGGTTTAATAGGTGCAATACACGATTATATTGTACGAGATCAAATAGATTTTGATATTGAAATACCTGATCAAGTTATAATGCTTGATCCCAGATTAAAAGAGAAAGATGAAACATACTTTAGAATAGCTAAACGATATCAGGATGTATTAGCTAGTTTAGATAATTTGAAGTTTATAAAAGAATCATCTTTGCAAACTAGTAGTGCAGTAACTAATATTGAAGAACATGGTGATAAATGTTTGAATTCTGAGGTTGATATTTTACATTATAATGATATACATAATACTTATGGGAAATCAGATAGAGATGGTTTTTCAGATTTAGATGCGGAAAAGAACATACTTTTGTCAGAAAATGAAGGTGAAAGAAGAAGTTTTAGAGATGTGAAGCATTTTACGGACTCTGATGAATTAAATTTCGATACCGATGAGGAAAATGGTCGTAATGTAGTCGATGATGAACAGAATATAATTAAATTTCAAGATGGAACTAAAATTGTATTAAACAAAGACGATGTGGAGCGTGCAACACTATATGATGATGACTCAATGATGGAAATAGAAGAAGGTAAAACATATACTGTAGATAGTATTTCTACAATAGACAGTGCAGTGCAAGAAAAAAGTATAGACGAAGATTCAAATAAAGTGTCTAAATTTCAAAGTATAATTCAAGTAAAACATAATCATGTATCAATATCAGAAAATACAAACAATAAACACGAAGATAATATATTAAATACAGAAAGAACATCTCCATCTAACTTATATATAGGATCAAGTGTAAATAAAGAAGACAAATTAATTATATCTGGAAGAAAAAGACAAAGAGATAATGATGAACAAACATTGGATCCAGATGAATCTGTTCAAAAAAAAAAGAAATCTGATCATAAGGTACAGACAGAAAAAAATGAAGAAAATATACAAAATGATTTTTCCATTTTGATTGAAACATCAAATAAAACACAAAATGAAGATTCAAGAAAACATTCCAATAATGAAAAGATGATAATTAATGATGCAAAATCCACTAATAATATGGAATGTGAAATTTCATTGCAACCAAAAAAGAGCAGTGAACATACTTTCACGCGTATTAGTGATATTTTAAGAACTATTCCAACAGAACAGAGCTATTTGAATTCATATTGTAAGATTGATGATTCAGATGTACACAAGCGATATACTCGTATAGCTTTATTACGAATGAGAGAAGAATTGAATGAACTTACAGTAGCAGATAGTCATCATGCACATGAATATTTCGTTGTAAATATGTTTAAAGTTTTTTATTCTTTATGCCAATTAAAGTCACTAAATATAAGAGAAAATGAAAATTTTAAAGGTCTTCCAGTGCCTTCAGATCTATTGCCTTTAAGATTAAGTACTGCAAATAATTTAATACAAGAAATAAATAAATCTGCAGTTTTTCCAAAGGAAGGTATTTCATACTCTGATTTTAAGAAAAATTTATCTACTAATTTCTCTCTAAATTTGAATAACATGGAAGCAGTATATAGATTTGTACGTGATAAAAAAGAACTTGGAGTTAGTATTAAAGAGTTGATAGTAAGTAAAAACATCTTTCAATAATATAAATTTAAGTATCAGATTTAAAAAATTAAAGTTATAATTATTAAAATAATTTTATTACTAAATATTAAATTATATTTTTGGAATTATCATTGTAATATTTATAATTATACAGTTATAATATTTATTCATAACATGCATAATTTTAATTTTTAGTTGTAGTATTAATATTTTTATGATATAACGTTAAAATTACCTATTGCGTGTAAAAATATATTAAAATATTGTGTATAATATTTAGCATAAAGTATTATCTTATTAATAATAAATAAACAAGAAATTAAGTATTATATATTAGTTAATTCCTATTTTATTTATTTTCATAGGATGAATTTGAAGATACTTTAGGAGAAGATTTATACCGAATTGTTTCTTTCCTTGCTGATAATTACATATTTTTGCGATCTGGTGTAACGACAGTTCGGTACATACATCATCGCCATGCTGATGCTTGGTTAATACATTCCTATAAGATATGCCGCCTCGAAAAAGAATCACTTATACCAATTCCTAAAGGAACTGTATACGTGATGAACTCTAAAGATACATTAAATAAAGATAATGGTATAAATACAATAAAAGAACCTAATAAAAGTCTTAGTTCACCATTAGAGAATGAATCATTAAAAACTGTTTGTGAGAATATGATTGAAGAAAATATTCAGTCAGAAATAAAAGATAACGAAAATAAAAATGAAGATTCTAATAAAGATATATCTAGTCATAGTGATGAAGAATATAATACGCAAGTTAAAAAAAGGATGCAAAGGAAGAGAACTAGATTACTACCTCAGAAAGATATATCTAGAGCTGCAAAGCAATTAGATTTAAAGTAAGTAAAATTTCTTTATTATTATATCTAAACAATGGGTGTTAAATTTATAGTATATTCACATTTTAGTACAAAACAAGAAATAAAAGTAGCTATAAAGCCATGGATTCGAATAGATGGAATTTTAAATCGACGAGTACTTGATCGTATGTTAGGGTCAATTTTGTCATACTGTTTAACACGCCCGGGTATAGCATTAACTAAAATACAAAATAGATTTGTCCCTCCTCTTCAACCATGTCATACACGCGAATTAGTTGAGGTAAATTACTAATAATTGTATGTAACTATATAACATTATTTTTATACTAATTTTTATAATAATTTTTGTAATAACATTATATAGTTTATATTTGAATATTTTTATTAAACATTGTAAAATTTATTTTTACGGCAGATATTGGTAAAGTTAAAATGTTTGGAAAAAATACTCTTGAAAAAGTCACGTGTGACGTTATTTTCGAAACCATCCCAAGTTAAGCTGAGTAAGTTATCACTATTGTAAAGAAAATTTTTTTTTTAGCTTTTGTTTTGTTTTTTAAATGTATTTTAATCTTATATTTAAATTTTGTATTTAGCGTTTTAAAAGTTTGTAAAATTCTTAGAAGTAAATAATATTTTCATCACTATATTAGATAATTATGAATTATATTAATATATAATAATATTTATTTGTTGCACTTTTTCTTAGAAGTTGCAAATAATGATTGGGCTACTGAAGAAGATATTTTCCTTGAACCTACGAGTGGAGCAATATTAAAATTTGGAATATTTTTAAGTACTAAGATGTATAGTACTGATTTTATTACATAATTAGCAAATATTAAGTTATTAAATCTAAAAAATTAATTTGAATCTGTATATTATATTTATATTATATTTTAAAGTAATACTAATTTTTGTAAATCAGCAAATTTAGTGTTTTAATAATGAAATTGTATGTGGATTTTTTATTGATTTTTTTACACAAAAACTTTATTTGATTACAATAAGTTATGTTAATTATAATTTTTTGTTTAATATGTAAATAATGTTTAATTGGGTTTTATATTGTCTTTTATGATTTAAAAAATAGAGTTATACTATAGAAAAATTTTATTTGAAAAAGTAATAACACTTTTGATACTAATTATATTATACAAACATACTTTACAAGGAACTGCAGTTTCTATAACAATTTTTGTATCCTCTTTGGATATGAAATGGCAAATTGGATAAATATCTACTATTATCAAATATTTAAGAGATGTTATTATATCTTCTTTATTTGATTAATGAATTAAATGCAGTTAGAATGAAAGTTATTTAAAAAGGTTATTATTACAACTACATTTTTAAAAGTCAAAGAATTATACCAAATATTAAGATATTAAAGAAACTAATATTATTTAAAGTATTACAATCTAATTATGCTTGTGAGTAAATAAATTTAATATACTTAACAAAGTTATATTCTTGGATTTATACAGTGAACTTATAATAATATACTGTATTATATAAGTAATAAAGTTCTTAATTATAACCTGTTTAAGAAATTATTCTATAAATTTGAAATATTAAAAATATATCTGTTTACAATATGCAATATGTTTTTATGGTAACATTCATTTTTAGAATATGTAAAATAAAGTTTGCATAAAACGAAATAATTTGGTTTATATTATAATGAAATTATATTTTTTATTTCTTGTTTTACTGCATAACTATACTCCCACCATTTTTAAAATATGTATATAATTGTTTAACTTTTAAAGTAAATTATAAAATGATCTATTTATTATTAAGCATAATATTAAATTATTATCTACTTATAACAATAAAATTTGAATTCTGTAAAAATATTATATATTACTTTAATTTATTAATCTCTTATGCATTTTAAATGATATCTATTTCATTTATACATTAATGATTTTTATATTAAACGTTTTTATTTTTCTTAACTAAAAAATTAGGTACATAGATAACAAGCTCATTTTCATTATATTTAAAAATTATATAACATAACATTTTATCTTCTTAAATAGTCAGATTACATTAAATTTGACATTTTATTATTCAATATATTATTTGAGTTGATTATAATAATAAAGGAATGATATTTTATTCAATCTGTGTTCAACAAATTCAAAGCTTGCAATTATATAATAAATAATTAATTTAATATCAATTTTAATTCCAATAACAATTTTTCACTGATAGTTAAAGTAGTTATACATTGGTAGCATTAATTTCATAGCATGTAGTAAAATTATAAATTATAGCAATTGTATTTAATCAATGTATAAATAAGGATTAATGTAAAAAGTATCTAATCTAATTGTTGCAAATAAAAGCTATTATTTTTCAAATTTTAATTAGAAAATATAATCGGACAGTAATATATTAATAATTGTAATGGAATGTTTATGTATTAAAATATTTGTATTAGTCGTGTAAATATATATTTTTATCGAATTTTAATTATGGAAATTTTATAATAATAGATGCCATTTTTTGGTGTAATAATATTATTAACAATAACGTACTTATATGTACCTACATAATACAACAATAACAATATACAGGAAAATATAGATACAACAGTACAACATATTTTTACAAATGTTTGCTTATAAATTATAAATGCACAGTAATTGTAAAACAATCTATTAAATGTTACAGTAAATTGTTAGAAAGAGGTTGATCAATAAGAAATAAATTTGAGAATATTTTTGAAAAAGTACATATTTTTTACACATTTAATTTATGTCATTTTTAAATAATTCGTTGTCTTTGTTATAAAATGTTGAAATTGTCGTCATTTGTATATAGTAAAAAATATGATAGATTTAAGATCAGGAAAAGAAAATCTTTACATTTTTCTATAAGATAAAAATTATACGAACTGTTGGAAAAGATTAAAAATGTATTAAAAAATATGGAATGAATAAAAAATTAATTATAAATGCTGTTATTAAACATTCAGCATTATTTCGACGGAAATAACGATGCTTGTAAATATTTATATTATTTTTAACATCGAGAAATTAGATCATCGATATTCGAGAAATTTTTTCGGGTAATAGTAAGGAATATAAAATGACTTAAGGTCGTCCTCTAAAGGGAAGTAACGAAATTAATTTTTGATATTTAAAATCAATCAAAATCAAATTATTTGATCCTGTGAAAAATAAAATAGAATAATTAGTATAATTAAAATTAGTCGGAAACAGTGTGTTGATCATTTAGGTCCTAATTTGGTTCTAATTTTAACTAATATTATTTGTTTTAATAAATTTGGACGGAATATAAAGGCTTGATTTTAAAAAGTTGCACCGCAAGTATACGAATATGTTTGCAACAAAAATGGTTGCATAAGTTATAATTAATGATCGTATCTAAATGCATAATTTTTAGCGGAATGAAGTCTAAAATTGATCACAAAATTTTTGTCATAAGAGATATAATCATTATTAAATAGCGCCAATCTATTTATTGGATGATAAATTGAAAATGGCCCTTTTAAAGATGTGTATGATGACAATTTGAATATCCGATCGAGGGCTATTATATGGTTTAACAATCAACATCTATAGTTATTAATATGATGTGTGATATATTAATTTACAATTACTATGAATTTATAAAACAAATATACAACATTTGTAATAATATTTTTAACAGTGCCTAAATTCCAAACTAAAAAATTATATTCAATTTATGTTACAAAATATGTATTTTATTTGTGCTGTTTGCTACGTATAATTTTAACTTTAGTACCTTGTATAAATTTACAACTTATCAAGGTATATGCAAGCTTTATATAATGTTTAAATACGAGTTCTTTTTACTTTGAAGTAAAAATTTTAATTTTCATAAATACATATAAAAACACTTACTTTATGTAGGATGTACTGTAAGATGTATATTTTAAAAACAAAAGGTTTGGAACCTTAAAATAAAAAAAATTTGTTTCTATCTTTACAATATATGTGATAAAAATAAGCATGATTGATTCGGATTACAAAAAATAAATGAAGCTCATCATTTTTAAGTAAAAAATCTTTCATTCTAATATTGATGCAACATATTTTATATGTAAATATTAATCATGTTGACTTCTACAAAATATAAACTCATATAAAAGTTATGTTTAAAAAATAATAGAATAAAAGTATAATTTAATTACTATTGAAATATACCTCAGTACAAAGCAATTTTTTGATTCAACATAATGAAGATGTAAAGCCTCTTCACCTTAATAGTGTACATGTAAAGAGTTGCAAAAATTGTTCCCACGATTTTTGTTTTTATTTCAAAACATAATTTAAAGACGAATTTTTCCTTGTTGAATCTGGTCATAAATTTCGGTGGTTAATAATTGGTATCCCAATTTTTCATTTAAATAGTACAATTTATCTTCTATCCTTTTTGGATTATATCCCTCATCTAGAAGATCTTTCTTTTTCAATTTGAATGTACCTGAAATAATGAAAAATGATGTTTTCAAATTTCTAACTATTTAAGTTTAAAGTATTTAAATTGCAAAGTAATAAAAGTAATTAATTATATTACTTAAAGAAAAAATTCAGAAAAAATATTAAATATTTTATTATCATAATTTAAATACCATTTGAAGGAAATTGAAAATAAGAGTTCTTTATAAATAATATTTATAAATAACAAATTACGAGGGTTTTTATTAAATAAGTTTAGTAGAATTTGTATATAAAAATACCCGTGAGATCAATTTTCGTTAAAATCCTAATAAATCTAGGTACTGCGTAAGTTGCTAAATGCTCCTTTAAATCAACTGATAATCGAGTGATATCTAACGTAGCTTTTTCGTCATATATTGCTGCCATTCCAGCTTTGCCTTCAAGACCTGGAATCTAATAGAAAATTAAATAGAAATATATTTTATCAAAATAGAATAACGATTGTCCATATCATGTTTAGTAGTTTATTTACCTCGACTCCATATACAATGCAATCTCTATAGTTAATAACATTACTGATAATAGCTTCAACTTCAGACGTAGATACATTTTCTCCTTTCCACCTAAAGGTATCACCTGTTCTATCTTTAAAATATAAATTACCGAATTCATCCGCTATTAAAATATCACCTGGAAAGAAAGAAATAATTTTATATTATTATAAGAACATTAGAACAAAGAAATATAATGTAAAAATATTAATTAATTTCGATTAATAAATTTTACATTTTAAAATTTGATTAAAATACATTTATACCAGATATAAATGCTGAATCGCCTTTGGTAAACACATCACGAACAATTTTCTTCTCGGACGCTTTCTGATCCACGTATCCTAAAAATGCTCTAGATGGATTGTTGGGTAAAATTTTTCCAACAAAAACACCTGGTTCATCTAAAAGTAAAAAAAGAGAAAGGATAATTTTATTAGAATTTAAAATGTAATATAAACGTTTTAATTTATATTGAGAAAGAATGCTTACTTGGTTCACATTCCTGACATAAGCCTTTCGCGTTTCTTATTGGTTCTCCATCACTATTAACTTTTAAAATAGAAATAGGATAAACTGATGGAATTATTCGAGACACAAAACCAATGGCCCCAACAGTGTTATCGATATTTACTAAAATATAATATCAAATACTAACATTATAAAATGGACATTAATATAGTATTAATTACTTTTTCGTAAATTTGTTTTAATTATATAAACATATGTAAATTTAAAATAAAATTGCAGTTTATTAAATGTTTCATTATAAAAAGTAAATGATTGGTTACAAATATAAAAAAAATTTGAATAACAATTCGTTATTTGCTAAAATAGTTAAAAATTTTAAGGTAAATTAAAAGACCAATATAGGTAATAAAGATTCTTACCGATGTTAGCATTTCCTTCTGTTGCTCCATAAAATTCCGCAATTTGCGGAATATTAAATCGTTCTATGAATTCGGGCCATATCTGTGGTCTCAAACCATTTCCAAACATCAGTCTAACATTGTGTTGCTTATCTTCCAGTTTCGGAGGTACAGCTAAAATATATCTACACATTTCCCCGATATACTGAGCAATCTAAAAATTAATTAGATCCATTTCTTACTACATGTTTATTCTTTTGAAGAGTAATTTTTTTAATAAATATTGCAATTAAACTTAAATGTATTTTTTCTTAATAATAATATTGGAAAGCTAAGAAAAACTTACTGTACACTTATATTTGATGCATTCAGTGAAATAAGCACTAGCAGAAAATTTTTTTCTAATTATAACTGTAGCTCCATGAAGAAGAGCTGCACCAATGGCCATTGCACCACCAGCAGTATGATACAATGGCAATGGTGTATAGATTCTATCTGAATTTTTAAATTTTGCCATCATAAATATACCCGTTGCCATAAACATAAACCTAAAGTGAAATAAAATATTGGTATTAATATAGTCGAATAATGATGTAATCACTTTTCAGCAAATTATTATTTTGGAATGAATTTTTAACAAACATTTTTAGAATTACAGACAGCAAATTTGGGAATAAAATTTAATCATAACAATTATAGATTAACTCATCTATGTATGCATATATTTAGTAGAAAATATAATGATTTTTACCTAGAATTTGTTATAACTGCAGCTTTAGGAAGACCAGTTGTGCCACTAGTGAAAATGTATAATAATTGATCGTTGTAACAGCCCTTCTCTTGAAGAAGTGGTGGAGTCGGAGAAACGTCGGCCATGATAGCAATCAAGTCTTTATCATTTAACTTTGATGGTTTAGAATCTGGTAAATTACCGATTCTATACAATGGAAAATTTGAGTCCAATGAGCCCATAATATCTGACATAGCTGAAACAAATTTTTAGCGATTGTAAAATAATATTTTTAATAAGTAAGATAATTCTTGAAATGAGATTTTAAATAAAAATTTTGTTACATATAACTTATAACAAAAGTATTAACGATTTTTAAATGATTTCTAAATTATTAATTTTCTTTAAATCTTCTAATGTATATTTTTCGGTAGAAAAAACTTCCTGTATTATAATACATTACGATAATCCTGTATTATATAATAAAGATTTTATATATTTTTTTCTTTTAAGGAAGAATATGCAGGAAAATATAAACGTCATAAAATTACGTCATTTTTAGGCAAATAAGAAATTATAATTCTTGTCAGTAGTATGTAAAGTGTGTTCAGTTGTAAAATGTATCTAATGATAGACGATTCGTTTTATCTTACACACTTATATGAATTTTCCTCTAGTATCCTAACTATACTAATTCAATTACCACTTCTTATATTATATTATACATTTTAACACGTTTATTACTTGAAAAATCACTTCCAACAAAAGTTCATCAGATTCAATCAATTTTTTCCAATATTTATACGTTTCTCCAATTTCAATATAAATTCAAATTTATTTAAACTTATAAGTAATATTATTGTTTGTTGTATTGAAGGCCTATAGTACTCTTTAAGACGACTAAAAACAAAATGCCTAATTAACGTACATCCTAAAGTCAATGCGTTCGACGAAAACTCAACTTTTATTACCTACGAATATCCAATAAAACGAGTAAGTTTCTTTGCAATACATATTGAATGTTAATAGACGAATTAGTTTAGAAATATACTAATTCAAGATTTGTCATTATCATCTAATTTGAATCCCTTGAATTTCTGTTTGCGGGATCACTTAAAAATCTTAATCTATTCATTATCTATAAATAATGGCAGAATTATACACGGATGTGAGTTTTGTATTACAACAAAAAGAAGACGCATCGAATATCTATCGTAACAAAGAAGGTTTGTATCATAGTTATTTTTTTGAAATAATTTCTTATCGACATCAGTAATAATTTTATTCACGATTTTGCACTTATGTATTGAATCAATTTCTCTATTTACGTACAATGCTTCGTAGAGAAACTCACTCATAGTATTGAATATTCATAGATAATAAAAGATGATTTTTTATTGAAAGGATAGGCCTTAGGTCCTGTGTTAATTAAATATTTTTTACTCTTCTCGGTTAGTTTTAACACCCTATGCAACATTGACGTCGCTGACACTCGGAATCGTTTGTAGTTTATGACTGTAATGATATTAAAATCGAAATTCCGATTTTCCAAGAGTTAGGTTTCGATTCTATAACAGTTATGTTATCAGCATTAAATAGTTATATGAATAGTTATTTGTTTTAATAAATAGTTATACTAAAGGTTATTTAATTATTGATTAGTTACATTCTAATTACCAAATAGTTACGTTTATTTCTTGAGTCTACTTAACCCATTACATTAGAGTTTATTTTTCTCTGAAACGTGATTTGTTATCGTAATTTGGCTTCATCGCATCGAATTATAATAAAAGCAATATATCGTAAGAATTCTGTCATATTCTACAAGATTATAGATAATAGTTGAAAAAGCAAATAAACTGTTAGATCCAAGTATATAAGCTTCGTATGTTGGTTAGATTTTAGTCCTCACGAGGAATGAATACTTGGGATAAAATACATTAAAAACTTTTTATATTTTCATGAAAAGGGGTATGGTACATATTTTAAGAAAATATTAATATTTTTAATGAATATATTAAATGAAAAATAAACGACAACTAATTCATTTAAGCATGTATATAGCGATAGCGTTAAGCATGCAAAGATATGTGCTAAATCTAAAATTTCTTTAGATGCACATAATACACAAGAAACTAAGGCTATGGCTGATGTTATAAAAATCACTATTTTTTAAATATTCAAGAGAGCGATAAAAATATATTTAATTGCAAAAACAAGTAAGAAATATTTGCTGTTATAGTGAATCATAAGAATTAACCCTTTACAAAATTTGACTCGCTAGATGTTTTGCCTATCATTTCCAAATATTCTGTCATAATAATTGATTGTTTTCATTTCCACCAGGAATTTCCATACTGTATCTTCATTATCTATCGATGAATATCATTAACCGTACTAACAAGAGCACGAGTTAAGAATAATCAGAATTTTCTTAAGTCGATTAGCATCTACATGTCGCAAGGAATAATAAATAATTCTACATGCATACTTGAAACTTAATGACAATAACGATAAACGTAATAACTACTAGTGTTATGCAATCATTTATAAAATGGACCTCGAGTCGAATCGACTACGACACGCAACCGAACACCTAATTTTCTTTCATTCTGGGGTAGTTAATTCTATTTCCTATTATTGCATCAACCATTATGATCGGCACTGTGCATTTATAGAACCCACACGCAACAGAAATCAAATATTATTTCATTTATGTACCAAGGGGTCACATATCATGCAAGTTTACAGTTATCGTTAACATAGAATTGAAAAAATTAACCTCAATACTGATAAAAATTGATTGATTAATTGTATATATGACGAGTTATACTTCAAATGCAAATTATAACCAATATATAATATATAATAATAACTAAGTAAAGTTTTTGTAATGCTTTTAAGAATTGTATAAAATTGACTGATTATGATTGAAAAAATTTATTTCAATCATTTCTTAATGTATCAATCAAACTTTGATAGTCTAAGCTCATACAGTTTGACTCTAAATTGAAAGTTAAAAGTTTGATCACTTCTGATACTTGTAATTTATGAATGAAAATAAGATAGAAAATAATGAAGTTTATTATTTTTTGTATTTACTATTGATCTATTAGATGTCTATTAGAGAGTTTTTCTTGTATTACCATATATCTTCTGTTTCTGCAAATAATAATACTTCATTGATTTTTTATTTAATTGATATATCTCCAGCAGTTTCATGAATTGTAGAATTTTCCAATTTTAACATATTTTAATATAATGTAAGGGTCATAATATTATAATTAGACCATATAGGATTTGAAGATCACCATCGATTATATATCTGAAATTGAAAGATATTAAGTAATAAATTTTTTATCTGCTACGAACTATCAATAAGTAAACAATTTTATAATATTCGTGACTAAATATTGGTGAATCCTCTATATGTTATGAATCATTAATAAATAAATGATTTTGTAATATTCGTGACCGAATATTGGTGAATCCTCTGTCTATCATGATTTATTAATAAATAATTAACGAATAATATGCCCTATTTACAATGCACTTGGCCATGTGCATGTCGTGTATGGCTAAGTAGTGTTCGCATGCACGCATGACCAAGTGTTTCACAATAATCGTTCGTTTAATTTATTAAATTGATGCTGCATCGTTTCACGGATGAATTGAGTAACGTAGTAGTATGTAAGATAGAATAATAACTGTCTCAGACAAAACATTGTTTTATTGGTAAGAAAGGAATTAATTAGGCAATAAACGTACTACTCACATCTGCTTAAAAATTACACTTTTTTGTTACAAGACTAATACGTGATTCTTTATTACATCATTGTAAAGAGAGGAACGTGATTTATTTGTACAACTATACCAAGAATACTCTGTTTCGTTTTCTAACTTGATTAAAACGTAAATTTGTACTAATATTATATTTTAATTATTGTATTGTACTGTTATTGTATTGCATTGTAACTATTGTACTATTGTTATTACTGAATTATTATTATATTATTATTGTTAAATTATTATTATATCGTTATAATTGAATTATTATATTCTTATAGATTGTAATGTACATTACAATGCAGCTTTTAGTTAGAGATATAAAAGTTAAGAAATAAAAATTTCATAAACAATATTAATATTGTATGTCTATTCAAATATTTCTTCTGAAAAAAAATTATATTCGCTCCATGTGTAATTCTAAACTATGTTTGATGATTTTTAGAAATTATATATATATATATATATACAAATTATAAAAACTTTAAATAGAAAACCAAAAATTAATTTCAAGCAAATAAAAATTTTATTTTAATTCATATTCATACTTACCATCAATAAAATCCACTCCATAAATAACAGCTTGACACTTGGACACGTTGATACTATGCAGAAGAGAAGCTTTCCGAAGGTTGGTATTAAGAAGTGGTACTATTACTCCCAGCTTACTGAGTCCAAGCCAAAGGGGAACGAATTCCACCCGATTCTCCAACAGTATGCCGACCACATCCCCTTTATGATATCCATGCGTTTTGAATATCGTAGCAACTTTATTGCTATAATCCTCCACCTGAAAATATTTCATTGCAATTTCATTAGAATAAATAACATATTTATACAGAAGAAATAAAAAAAATAAGTAAACGAAGACAAAAGTATGAAGAATGTTATTAATCTATGACTTGAATCTCATAAATATGACTTATGTATATCTTTATATATTTTTATCTTTTTCTTACATTTATTATCAAACACTATTATAATGTTTATTATAAAAATATCAATTATATTTAGATTTGACTGATGGAAGGACCATGTTTCTTGCAAAAGCTGATTATCAAGTTGTACAAGCAAAATTGTATTTCTATATAAATGGGAATGTCTATGTGATTTTAAGGTAATTCTGCCTTTTTAAATGGGATGAATTTTAGTAGATAGCAGTTTTTAGAAGGCATTCGACAACTCGCGGATTAAAGGATTTTAGATTTATTAAGGTTTAAAGTTATAAGTTTTAGTTATAATTAAAAAATAAATAAATGAATAAAAAGAGTATAATCTAACAATAAATATTAACAGATATAAGTGAAGAAGAAAAGGTAAAGAATGAGTCAAACTTTTATGAAAGTTTTTGACACTTTTTTTATACGAAAATATTAAATGCAAATGATCTTATCTTCAAATATATTTGCAAACTCTTCGAAACATCATTAAAATAAATGGTTGAAAATTAGCAACTATAAGTGATAATCGAGTGGTAGAACTGTAAATATTTGTAGAAACATAAAATTGCTGAATGAAGAATTACGTAACATTAATCACGATTCATAAAGTAGTATCGCATGATGATAATTTACATATTATACATATTGAAACATTATCACACACTATTGTCATATGAATACGTTTAGTCATGCTTCCAAATAAGATACAATAATTTACTTACAAGGTATAAAAAAAACTTTATCAATTTTCTTAAAATTCTAAACCATATTGTGTAATTTCATCGTTAAATTAAATATTTTGTTAAATAAGTATGCTCTAAGTGAAATGAAAAATAAAGTTAACGTTGATTTTGCATTATTATTATTATCATTATTATTTTTGTAACGCGGAAACAAATTTATAAGTAATTGTATTTTAGATAAGATGATTACCAGGGAATAATAGAATATAATGAATAGAAATTAATAGATTTACAATCAGAAAATATAATAAAAATTGTAAAAAATATGTAAAAAGGGAAAGATGAATCATTAAAAAAAAATTTGAACGACCGAAATTGAAGTTAACAAGTACTCTCAAATTTTCCTTTGACAAAATATGGTCGAATATTTTAATAAACTTCATCAGTTGAGGCGTTAATTGGATAGGAATAGATAGGCTTAAAATATAATCACAACCACAAAAGGGATAAAAATTAAGAAAGGTGATTTAAAAAATTAGACCATAATAGAAGGCCAGAATAAACGAAATTTAAATTGACAAATATTTTTAAGTTTCATGAAATATCTTTTGGAACATTCATTAAATAAAAATGGATATATTTACAGCATATTTACAGTCGGAAAATTTTCGAATGATAATTAAAAGAACTTATTGCTGATTTACTTGACTGCGATTTTTCTTTTAATATATGTACGTATAATCAATTTACCAATATTTCTTCTCATTTCATTTCTTTCCTTTTGTAATGTTGCTTTTTTTTTCATTTTTTCATACATCCATCTAGATATAGTATTAAATCAACAGATACTTTTCAGCTTTTCTTCGATGAAACATATTAAAAAATTTTAGTTATCCATTTTACCTGTTGGAACGTCCATTCTTGATCTTCGGAAATGAAACAAACTTTATTGGGATGTCGATTAACATATTGTCGAAATACATCAGCAACGCCTCTGTTTTTCTTCTCGTGACTGCGGATGGTCCAAAGAACTTTCGCATATCGTGAAATAGCTCTAAAAAAAAAAAAAAAAAAATAAGATATTCATGTTAAACTATAATTGAAAATTCATTAAAATATAATATATAATTAAACATAATTAGAAAAAAGTCACAACTCAAAATTTATCCGTGTTTACTGGCCAACATGCAACAATAACAAACACTTCGAAAATACATTTGTTTCATAATATTTGCCTTCTTGGATTCTTCTACTTTTGTACAATGTAAACGTAAGTATAAAACGTTTCAAAATAAGTCACGTCTTCTTAAAATCGAGTGATCAATTTTATTCGGTACTTAAGCAAATTTTATAAAACTTTCGAACAAACGATTTCGTTTCAAGGAAGTGAAATGTACTCCGGAAGTGAAAAGAATGAAATATCACGTTTGTCGGTGTTTATTTGTATAATCTTCGCAGAAACAATATTTTCTTTGCAAATGGTTCGAATCGTGCAAAAAGATAATTTGTGAGAAAAAGACAGCAAAATTTCAAGCATTCAAACGAATTAGTTAATTATACACTCAAATTATAAATTAAAAGGCATGTCAAAATAAATTTACACGTATATTTCTGCCTTTTATTGGCGTCGCAATTTAATACTTCTATAATTAATTGCTCGAATATTAGTTAATCACTAGAAATGACTTATTGCCTAAGTACGTAATATTATCGTATTAAATACATTAAAACTTTACACAAACAGATTAAAGAAAGTGGTTAGCAAATTCGCTTCTTGTTAGACAGAAGGTACATATATTACGTAACATTATTCACCTAACTATGTACAATAAAGAACAAATATTGCCTTAAGTTACAAAATTGCTGGTTTTCAGCTTAATTTTCTACTTCGTTTTGTTAAACTTGAAATATACGAACTCTGATGAAAAAAAAAGAAAGCGAAGGAAGATAATAAAATTGCAATCTCATGCAGATTATCGAGAAATATTTAGTAATTATGTAGTAAATATTTATCTGAATCAATAATTGTTTTTTACTTGTATTATTTCACAAGTTAAAACTTCTTGTTTGAGTAAAGCAAATAGGGAAAAATAGCGATAAATATTACAATTATTATGGGAATTATTAACATATTTAAGATCTGCAGAGATGATCGAATTGTTGGCCAAATCAAATCTGAGCGCATCTTAAAGGAAACTTAAATGCTTAGTTGGTTCAATGGACCAGTTAGAGCAATGAGAGAAAACTGTACGTATGCTACGCACGTTGTTTTAAATTATTCACTGCTGATTAACACTATATTTTACATAATTGCACGTACGATGTAGATGCATGTATACGTGATGAACTAATAGTATCTATTTAAAAAATTGTGATTATTCTCGCGTATATATAACTTTACCGTGATCGTAATACATAAACTAGTAACTGAATAAATTGAACCAAATGACGTTCATCTTCATTTACATAATTGTGAATATTACTTAGAAAACACTTTTAAACGTATAAATATTCCTTCCGTTAAATTCTATTTAATTTATTTTCAATATTTTCTGATGCATTTCAATACCTTTTTAACATATTCGTTATTTTTAAGAAAGTATTTAAAAAGTTCATAAATTTAATAATATTTTGTAAAAATTTTAATTTTATAATCGATTCATACCTTAGATATTAAAAATTTATTTTAAATTTTAAGACAAGGTCTAACATTGAGTATTATAATTCAGTGTTAGCATCTAGTGCTTCAAGGAGGCAATCTAAATGATTAGTAGGTACACTAAATGATTAGTATAGTAAAGAAAAGGATAGAAAAACATCTTATTACGTTTCTTGGAAAATGAAAACCAGTAACTAATATTTATGACAGATATTTATGTTGAACTTTAAATTGTGAAGCAAATCTGAACTGTTCCTGATGATAGAACACGTTTGTAACAAGTTTATCATAGCTATCACATCATTTTATCACATTAATTTTCTGTATGAATCAACAAATTGTATAACATACAGTACAATAGCATATGTACATAAAATGGTTTAAGATATATTACTCCTAAACTTATACGTAGACTCCTATAATATTTAATTTATAAAATATTTATCAATATCTCAATATGTAAAATTATATTCCAAAAATTATACGTAGACATGTCATGTATAAATATGAAAAGTATTTATTTTGAAATATAAATTATTGGCAGAAAAGTTTCGGAGACAATGTCTTAAGAAAACTATTGTAAATTGTAATTAGATAAGCGGAAGAATTATTTGCAAAAATAGGCATAAACGGAATTGTTACATGACGCATATTACGTTTAATGGTAATGCGTGAAGAAATCGGGCCGCGTACTATGTATATAGACAATATATACATGTATATACGTCGCTTGTCGCTGAAGGGTTAATCTTGAATGACCTTGAATGACGTTGTGTCACGTGTCGTTGAACTCGTCTCTATAAACGCTTTCACGGGCTTTAAAAAAAGGCTTATATTGCGTACCACAGTAAGAGATAATAGATCTTTTAAATCGGAAATTTCCCGTAAATTTTGAATATTAATTTAAAGCTTAAATTTTTTAGCCATAAATCATCAAATTATTTAAAAAGATATAATGAAACATTTATTTATTTTCTCTTCATGTATTTCATTTGCAAAGACAATAAAAAATTTATAATTTCTACATCAAATATACGTATAAAAATATATAACCATATATATATACTTGTAAATGTGTATAATTGCAATTTATGTTCATATAATTTATATTATAATTTCTATTTTATTACAATTTATGAAATTTATCTTTCTGTTTGTAATTAATAATAAAACTATAAATGTACTGTGTACCTGGATAAAATAGGTATCAATAAATAGGTATATAAAAATCAATATCAATTTTGTCAAAATCAGCTGTACATTTTCACTAATTAGAAATACAAAAATGATGGATAGTTCAAAACATAATTTAAAATTAAAACACAAATCTAAGATTAACATAGCAAATAAATTAACAAGGTAACCTTAATAAATTCACAGGTTAAAATTCTAGGTATCATATAATGAAATTATCTTATTTTTAACCACGGTATTCCTAGAAAAATTCCAGGAATTTACGAAAAGAGGCAGCTCATCATCGAGTAACTTATCACTTTCTTATGCTTTCTCTTCTAGTGCTGATATGATTTCTACAAGGTATCAAATGTTGTAAAAACACATTTCCGTATCAAGTGTTCTTATCGGTAATTAATATTCACGTGTTGCATTCAGAACATAAGCTCATGGGACTTATATTTGGATACGAGATACTTTCTTACATGGGACTATTATTTTTAAAAATTCGATTAAAATATGATAAACAAATAAAGTACCTTATACATGAACAGGAAGCCACTAAATTACACCGCAGAAAGAGATCCAGGTAACAGAAGCAAGATCAATCTTATCACAAGTCTTCGTAAATAATACTACTTTTACGTAATAATATAAAACCACATCCCACGATATGTTGCACTTAGGTTGTGATCCAAGTCACCAGTAATATTTTCCTTAGATAAAAATCAATCATTCCCAACGATCTAATCGAAAATTATTTATCAGTGGTGATATACGATTGCGATTCTAGATAAAAGCTATCACAGAATATCCATGAAAATTATCTGAAATAATATAAATGTTATATGATAATGTAATTATACACACTATGTAGTACATTATATGTATAATTATTTATAAAATATTATGGTATTTTAGAATATTTCAGGATAATTCTTTCGTGAAATTTTGATTAAAAATAATTTTTTATATATGCAGATTGAGGAGTATTAAAAATTTATATCAATATATATATCGTTGTTAAGATTTTAGTCGATTTGTACTTGTAGATAATATATGTTAGCTTTTTTATATTATCGAGTATGAGACAGCAAAATTCAAATGCATTAATAATTTAAAAAAGTAATCTTGATTCGATATATCATTACTTGTTAGAAATGTATATGGGAATAATAATCGTGTTTAATTGGAAAAATAGATAGCATATTTCAGATGGTACATAAAATTGTGTATTGGAATTGTGTACTGTATTGTTGTATTCTAATGATGACTTTAAAAAAGTAACGTTTTCGATTAAGATTACAATGTTATTCATGAAACTTCAAGTTAAAATTTCGTATTAAATTATTGAGGATAATATTACTTATCATTTTAATTTTATTTGTGTATTTGTTTTCAATCTTTTGTTTTAATTGAAAATATTCTGTTGTATACATTTGGTATTCTATGAATAAGTGTCTTTTTTGTTAGGTTCTTTAAAATTAAAATTTTTATTTTAATTTTTCTATGATTTATTATAAAAGTTATTGACAAATAGAATTTTAGTCGTACGTATTTGAAAAAGCTCAAAGAATTAAAAAAGAAGTTAGTAAATATTTCACAAATTATCGTGTCAAATGTCCGTAATTGCAACCTTATCATTCTAAATTTATTATCAATTGTAATCAATTTCCTTCTATTTTTTTCAATCCAATGAGGCAAAATAAAATCACTGATTTACGATGCACAGTATAAATGTAGTCAACTTTGCTACGTCATTGCACGATATAAGAAGGCAAGGAGACATTAACGCAAGCTACCTTTCTGATAACGTGCATTTAACCGGCAAAATATATAACTATGTACGTAATAGTATTACGTTCAATTTTACTATGATCATTGTGTGTTTATAGTTCAAAGAAAGTATATCGACACTCGTTACTAAGTGATTTGTTACACTTACAATACAAAAGTGTATATTTCGTGCATTAACATAAATATAAAGTACACATAATTTTATTAATAATTTCAATTAATATTATAAATAAATATATATGTGTGTATGTGTTAAATATATGTAATTAAAATTATAATAAAATAAAAAATAATTATAATAAAAATAAAACGAAAGTAACAAGAATAATCGAAATTCTTGCAATACTATAATTGTTTAAAGTGAATATTTCTTTATTACAGAATACTTTTTAGAAATCGTTTCTTCTATAACTTGAAATATTTTAAAGAGGAATGTAAAAGTAGAAATACCTTTGGCATTACGATAAAGAAAAACAACAAAATCTCTTGGAATACCGCATTTTTCTACAGAAGAATATTTGTTATAAATAGTTCTTTCTTAATCCAAAATATTTTGAAGAGGAATACGAAAGTCGAAATACCTTGAATATTAAGATAAAATAAAAGGATAATATCGTTTGGTAAATATGTTGGAAAACATTAATGACGTGCATTGTTTTTATATATATGATTATGTAACAATTTTGCTTTGAACCTGTAACTAAAGTGTTAATGTATTTTCACATTATACTAACTTATAGTTCATTTAGGGGAATAGGTAAATGTGTAAATAATTAATTTAGCGACTTTTCTTTTGTTATTAATATAAAATACCGAAATTTTTGAAATAGTAATATACATAACTATAACAACACAAACCGAATTTAATACGTAGCGTATCAGGTCAATCCATAAGTTCATGCGTATTTTTAGCTGCAACAAAGCAACAAAAAAATACGAAGTTAAGGTTTGTCCACAATGTATCCGCCATTGTGTTGTACGACTCATTGGATAAAATTTTATATGACGAAAGAAAACTTGACGCGATGACAATTAATTTATATAAAAAAAAGGAAAATACCAAACTTAATATGATATATCTTATACATAAGTAATTAAATAACATGCATAATATTTATTATGTAATTTTAAATAATTACAAATTTTTAATTTGTTAATCTATTTCAAATTATATATATTTTATAATGTATTTTATTTAAATGTATTTAAGGTAAATATATTTTATACATTTTTTACTTTATTTTACTACGTATATTTTATTTCTATTATATTTTTATATTTTTATATATATGATACTAAAATAATTACTTCTATTTTTCACACACATCCATGTCTATGTCATGTGTCACACACATCTATTCCAAAATCTAATTTAAATGCATGCCTGCCATTATAAAAAGAAAATATAATCATTGATAAGTGTCAGATTATCGATGCTCCAAGCATATGAAGAAGCAGTAGGAATTAAACATTAAATATAACAGAAAAAGGCGCGAATTATGAAGAATTATGAGATTCTCCCCTCCCCCCATCTCCAAGAAAAAAGCTCGTATAGTTAATGTATGCACTGATAATTATACTTAAAAATGTACTCGAGCTTCTTTGCGGTTAGTGAATAAGAATTCTTCGACCAACTGTTTATGCATATGTCACAACGTGCATCTATTATGTCACAACGTGCATTTATTATCTCGTACATTAAAGGTTGCTTATTTTGATGCACACATCATTTAAATGACATTATTGTGCAACGATTGTGATAGCTAAATATGTCACTTTAAAAATCAATTTCCTTTGTAGCTCTTTCACAATGCAGATTAAAGTTAAATTTTCATCGTTGAAATTCATAAATCATTTCATAAATCATTGTACACTTAATGTAAAATATAAATGAAAACATAAATGAATATTTTTTCTTTCTAAGGAAAGATTAAATATTTCAAGGGGATATGACGTTCTTAAATATCCCGATATCTACTTTATCGACGTAAATGGAGTGTATATTAATTTACAAGAAAAAGAAGAAAATTTAAAATTTTCTTACATTTGTTGATATTTGTAATATTTATAAATTTTGGGGTCAAGCAATTCTTAAAGGGAAGCATATTTTGTAACCTTGTCATTTTTATTAGAGTTATAGGATCATTATTTATTGTTAAAACAATTGTTAGTTACGAGCGAGGGATATAAGTTTCAATCACCATACAGTTCACTTCCCTAATAGATTATATTGATGAAAATTGAACAATTATTTTATGAGAGTAATATAAACATTACCTCTCAAAGGTCGAAAGTATTTGATACACGTGTCGTTTGTCACACGAAAATTGTGATTCGTTTACGATTCACAAAGATTTTTTTTTCCTATTTTTTGGCATATTTCATATTTTTTGTTTTACAAATGATAAACCAATATTTTCAGGACAGTATTATATATTCATATTCCTTAACCGCGGAAACGGATGTAGATTTGTGAAATGTACAGTTATTTATTGCAACTATAGCAACAAGATACCACGTTCAAATATGGTAACTAATATCTTACGAACTTTCTTGGCGTTGCTATTTAATAATGTATGTAAATCACACAATGCACTTCGTATCGTTAATTTTACATACTGCTAGTCATTTCAATATAACAAATATTTCATCGACAATCACTTAATAATTTTTGACGTTCTCGAAAACGAAATTGCATTACCAAAACAACTTCACGTGCTTAACCGTTATAAACACGGCCGATAATACGCCAACTACCGCGAACTATTTGCAAGATTTGAAAGAAATATGGAGAAACTCGCCTGGCCGTGCGAGAAGACCAGCTTGGAAAGTCAAAGACTGACCCAGTTTCTGGTTTCATCGATCGAATTTAGAACGAATCAAAGTTCAAAACATCGATTTGTGCGTTGTCGAAGGATAAGGATAAGTCGGATGAAGAGAAATGTGTACTCACACAATGTCTCTGGGTGCAGTTTTCAGGGCAACGTAGAACCATCGGAAACGTCCTCCGGAGACTAAATACGCGACAAGAACCACGGCCAGTAGCTGCACGAGGAAAATGGAGCCTGCGTATATGGCCAGCAGAGCCAAACAGGCAACCAAACTCGATATCAGAAACATGATGAATGCCAAGCGGCGAAGCAGGCGGCCGACTGCCTTCCACCGGCTGGCTGCGCTCCTTTCCGTTCCTCTTTCCGTGCGCGTCCTCGTCTTTGGCGTTGTTGTCGTCGTGATCGCCTCTGTCCCCACTCCTGCACACAACACACGCATAAACGCATATAATGTTCGTCGAACTGTACAGTCGCGTCTCCCATTCCATTCTCCTCTACATTCGGCGTACCTATTGGTTCATTGTTCGCTGTTCCGATTTCCACTTCCACCGCGACGCTCGACACATTTGACCTGCTGCTGCTGTTCCTTAGTTTATCCTCGAGCTCGACCCTGCTCTCGGCCGACGTCGACGTCCGCGACGAAGACGCCGGCCGTGAACAGTTCGACGGCGAGAGGCCTGCGACGTTTGAACGAAGTTCACCCTTTTCTACGTCCTGCAACAAGCGCGGTAAATATACATCACGTGACGTATACCACGCGTTTTTATATATTCTAGATGCATACGTATCATCATCCATGAACTTAATAACACTAAGAGGAAAACTGAAGGATATTGTGTACATAAACAGTCGCGCCGTAAGTCTTCTTAAAATAAAACGATTCTATTGTATAACATTTTGACAATCAGTGGCTCATTGTTGATTTATTGGTTAGATGATCAATTTCTCGATTAGATATCGAGACATCGAAGGTCTCGACTTCGGTAAAGGTAACAGCACTTTATAATACCTGCGGGAGTTACATATGCACACGTGCAGCAACACTAGACTGGCCAGGTCGTTTAAATAAGTGTGTGCAAATAAAAGATGGTTACTTCGCATAGTTTTATGTTTAATAATTTTTTCATTGCAATATTACAAAAAAGATTGAAAAAGATAAAACGGATCAAAAGATATTTTTATTTTATAATATATTAAGTATGTCGATTAATTCAGTTTTGTGTTTTAACCAAAATTCAAATTTTATCTACAGGTCATGTAATGTAAATTTAATCGTTTGGATTAAATTAAGTCATTAAATACTCTCTATTATTTTTTTCACTTTTAGCCCACTTTCCGACTAAATGTCGGATTTCATTGCAAAAGGAAAATATTATAGTAGCGGTTTCGATACGATGAACTTTTAATTTTTGGAATAATATAAACAATGGAATGAAATAATGAATGAAATAAGTAATTAATCGGTTTAAAGTCTGAAAAATACATCGAAGGTGACAGGTATTTCCACTTAAGATTAAAAAGTGCTTTATAATTCTAATAACTTCTTTAATTCAGATAAGAACAAATTGCAATACCTAAGTTATACCAAATTGAGAAAATACCAATGACATTTTTTTTAAATTATCATAAGATAGAAAACTAATAATTAAAATCGTGCCATGTAGGAGCACTAAATTAATTTACATCCAATATCAGTTCAATGAAATTATAATTATCTAAGAACAGAATTTATGACGTTACTATCCACATAAGAAATAGATATTTGCACTTTCAAACATTATGGTATATAACATATTTCCGCATATACGCTGTTTTTCATATTCTTGTATATACACTATAATCTTTTTCAATATTATTATTTAAATATTAATTTCGTAAAAGTATTTTTTTTTTAATTTAATTATAATGGCACATACAGACGTGGCTTACTCATCATTCGTTTCTTTAAATTATATTACTTATTTTTATTTCAAGCATCTTTGAAGACTATTTATAGTGAATTTTTGTTACAATACTACTTTGCGTACCTACTAATTCAGTTTCGCAAACGTTTAATAAATATTAAATTTGTTTTTATGAACCACGCAGTATACTGGAATAATGAAACACGTCATCCTCTTAATTTAAAAAAATTTCTTGCAAAATTTTAAGTAATACCTAAATGTCATAGTATGATGTCTCATAATTGTTTTATCGATTTATATTATAAAAGGGGGGCATTTTTCGTAGATTTAATCAAACTTACTAAAAGTAATGTAAATATATGATAGATGTTGAATGTTCTTATGTAGTATCATGTAACCCGAAGTATCAAGTATATCGCGAATAGTATACGGGAGGCTGTCCTGAATAATCTGGAGCAAAGTGGTCTCCTAATTGTAAGTTTGAACGTATTCCGTTGGGAATTATTGCATACAGGTATGTAACTATACACAAAAATGGAAAATAAAAAATTGTTAATGGAAAATAAAAATAATTAGTCTAAGTCATTTATTGTTTCGTTGAGTCTAATGTCTTATTTGTAACCTTAATTGTCTAATTTGTATATATATAATACCTTGAATTGCTTTTTTCATACAAGATTTTTATTAAGTCAAACAGTTGTAAATTTACACTTTGAACCGGCTGAACAGCAAAAACTGTTTTCAATATTGGAAATAAATCACATTATTGGTATTCAACAATTTTTCCCATTAAAAAAAGAAGTTTATGAAGAACGAAAGGAAGAAGATATGAGAAGAATGAACAAAGAACATGTTTTCAATCTGTTCTAATCGTAGAAATTGAACGTTCACGAGGTGAAATAAAAATAAATGAAATAAACAAGAAAAAAGAAATAAAAAGTTTTAAGGATTTATTTTAATTTGTATAAAACGTGAAAGCTTTCTAAGTATCTTCTTCGATATTAAAGGATAAATTTATTTTAGTATACTCTCTATTTATCTGGAGTAATATTAGTAATACGAGAAGTGAGAAACAGGTAAAAGATAATAGTATATGTGCACTCATTATATATAAATGAATATAGAAGGAATAAAGGCACGTGTATTGTAACATCACTTTAATGAAGGCATTAATCATATACTTCGTATATAAACCGAATAACTAACATAGAGATTTTGAATTTATTAGCATATTTTAATAAATTATATAACCTTAATTGTAACATAAAAAGACATATTTTCTATATTTTTAGTAGCAAGAATGACTTTAATTGTAATATTATAATAATATTACAAATTTTAATTGCAAATTGTGAGAGCATAATATTTAAAATAATGTTACACAATATTAATTATGCAGAAGATATTAATTTTTCTAATACTTATTTATTATTTATGACTCTGCTAATATTAAAATATAGTGTTGTATATAATGTTTTTAAGGACATAAATATAAATATAACGACTTTTGTATATTACCAAATCAAACAAATATATTCATTAACTAATTACATCACATTAGTTCTTGTATATGAAGATATGTACAAAGGATGAGTAAATATCTTGTTTTTCTTTTTTAATATTACTTTACATATCTACTAAAGTTTCTATACTTTCTACTTTCTCTTAAAGTTTCTCTCGGAGTAACTAAAAGTAATATCATCAGAGGTACAAAGTAACTGAAAGTAATATAATTTTCTAGATTTTCTTTTATACGTTCCAAATTTCATTTTTAAATATTGCAAAGTGAGTTTCTTTTTTGAAGAATGACTTATTTTCTGTTTATTTTTATTATAAAAATTATGTAATAAACATGTTAATAACCATTTTTATACGAAACATTAATTTTTAACTTATTTTTATATTAATTTTTTATTTCTTAAATGTTAGTTTACTTTTCTTTCATAAATATTTTGAATATTATAAAATATCATAAATTTGGAATATCAATATTATTTTATTCTAGAAAAAACAAAATTTAGAAACATTTTTATAACAAATTTTTTAATAAATTTATAGTAGCATGTATTGATTTTAAATAAAATTAAATTATAAGCATGCTGCACTAAATCCACTAGTGCATGTTAAAACATACTTTTCTGTTCAATACTAACACGTTTTTCAGCAGAGTAAATGTTTTATTTTTTATACATAATATAATTATGTTTCGAATGAGAATTACCGTATAGAGATTTATGTATATGAATCTTTTCTGTTATGATTGTCTCCTTAGTGATATTTCAATCTATTTACGATATGAATGCTACATTATAAAGAAATTTTTTGCAAGATTAGCGTACCGATAATCGGTAAAAACAATTTCACAAAAAAGATTGTTTATCAAATTACTGTAAGAACCTTTAATATTAAATTGTATTAATAGCTCAAGCAAAATGAAATGCTTTCTAATATACTATCGAATGTTTTAATTTATAGCAGATGTAATTAAATATAAGAACCAATATTTTATAAAAAAATATCCATAAATTTAGAATACTAAATTATTGATATTTAAAAAAATACGAATAAAATATTAATAAAAAATACTAAAGTATTTTTGAAAACAATAGTAGCTTTCTCCTTGTTACTACAATTATATTTTATCAGTTTGAAATTTAAAACGTTATTTACATTTAAAATTATATGATAATCTTATCTTCGCCAATATAATATGGTATCAAATATTACAACAAATATATAAAATGTATATATAAAACATTACAACAAATTAAAATAATATAACATTCTTCATATAATAAAATTGACTGTTTTTTTAAATTTAATAAAATTTGTTAGAGATTGTATTTTTACATTCTACTTATGTAAATCAATTTTTTGTCATTAATTTCGTAATTACCAATTTTTTGTATTAATTTAAACATTATTTATAATTACTATAGATCAAGATTAGAATATTTATTATGAAAATTATATTTTGTCTTACATATGACTTAAATACATAAGATATCGCTAACGGAATAAAATTATTCTTTAAATAAGTAACTATTGAATAATAATGAGTAACTCATTATTTTAAACTTCAATTCATAGTTTAGCTTGCTAAAGACTTTACTCACCCCAAAAAAATATTTATGTCTTTGATTAACAGCTTGATAGGAAGCTAAAACACATTTCTGTAAAACTCTTTTTAGTCGCGTAGTTGATGGTATATACACTGAACATATATTAAATACACTTTTTCAGTCTTTAAAACGTTGTACCGTATATAAAATACGTATTAAAATATATATTTATAAGTGAAAATGTAAAAAATAAGGAGGACTAACAATTCGTGATCACCCTCAGTGACGGAACTTAATCAATAACTCTACATTACTGCTACCATGTGGCAAAATGTTGAAGCTCCTTAGCATTGCTCGATAAACATCCTTAAACCGGTAGTTAATCTCAAAGGAGAAATTCTTAAAGGTATTTTCCATTCCTACCTACTTTATACACTTTGTTAATATTTTCCTTTACTCTATCTTTAAAACGATATTTAACTAAAATGGTTTATACCTTACACAGCACTTAACCTTTAACTTCCATCATTTACTTTCTTTACAATCAACTTTTTTATAGATAATTTAATTCCTTATTCCCTACATTTGCTTTCTGATTTTACACATTATCAGTTATTATTTATACCTTTTGTTATTCTCCAAATTGTATATATTTTTTATGTATAAAACATAAATATTAATATATATAATTTATAAATTCCATAAAAGTATAATAATTAATAGTTCAAACGTGATAATTATAATTGTATCTTATTATAAATACAGAAATTTAAAAAAAGCAATTTTTCCCTTTCAAGTATACAACTCAATCTATACAAATTTTAAAAATTTTTAATTAAAGAAAAGATTAATAAACGTTATTTAAAAATCAGGTAAAATATAAAATAAGTATAATATATTACGAAACAAATACACTAATAGTATTATACGTTAAAATAGTTCACCTTTTAAAATATTTGATCTTTAATAAATAAACAATTTATATAAACAAATATTTAAATAATTAATACGTTAACAAAATTTTTATTTGATTAACGAATTTATTTATGCTAAAATAATAAGTTTATATATTAAAATGAAATTTTTTAATCGATGAATTATCAATCTCTACTACATCGACGTTAGATACAAATATCAACACGTATCAACATTAACTAATATCGATAAGTTACTAATAAATTACAATTTACCTATGATGTAAATAACAGTTAAATAATTAATATGAATTTATAATTATATTCTAATATTATATTTGACAGTCATTTCTAGTTGTCTATAATATATTTAAATAAATTTTTTTTCATTTACAAAAAATTTTTAAACTTTATAATTGCGGTATTTACAATAATATATACCATGTATATTCAAAATACTTGGAATATTTTATACTTTCTTTAAATTTATATTTTCCATATTAATGACATTGTCATGAAGAATGCTTCTATACATGTCATCAACTGTAAGTTTATACACAAACTACATGCTTTATGTTGATTCATGAATTAAAATTGAAAATTTCGGGCATTATTGCGTAAAAGTGTCACGACCCCAGTCACTTAAATATTCTGATTTGAATAATATATTTCCAATGAAGAATAATCCTTTTATACAATGCAGTATATATAATCTATTAAAATCTACTGTTAGTTTCTTGAAATCGTAATACAAAATATCCATAATGGAATAAAAATTCATATAACCATTTTCTTTATTTTTATTTATTATTTTCGTTTTAATTTTTTTTATTTTAAATTTAATTGCTAACAATTATCTACTTGTTTATAAAATTAGAAAGTCATTTAAGGCATAGGATTATCATTTTATATCTTCTTAAACACAATTTAATTTGTCGTTTTAAAATAATAATGCTAATAATAACCCTAAGGATGAGTTTAATGTAACACATTGCAACACACATTAATTAGTTAATCACAATTAATTTCAATTTTTATTTAAATTTTAAACACATTATCTATTACAAATAAATATCTAATTTTTATGATTATTATTTTTCTCAAATAACCGTAAGAATTAAAATTATCATTTTTGAAAAAATAAAATTTTTATTTTTGCTATATTTGCATAAACTTCAAACAAAATACAGAAATTCCTTTTACTGTTACCTTAGAAACAATTTTCGTTTGTTTTCTTAGATTTATATAATTTTATGTATATCGAATAAGATACACAGTGAAACGTGTATTTAATTAAAATCCCCTCGCCTTAGATTGCATCTGTGTTCGTCAAAATACCAATGAAATTGCGGTCACCAAGAAGTTTCATAAGAACAAGGAACTACAGCAAAACCAGTTAATATGCCCTAGTTGCCACAAAGAAATGCATACCGTTATATGCGAGGATTATACTGTTTTTAGCACCAAATGTTTATAGAATATTTATGAAAAAATTACAGTCGAAAAAAATATTTAATGATAGCAATACAAACGCAACATCCCGTTTAAATTTGTACAGATTATTTCTATTAATAGGAAATATCAGATGTCATTTTAAAATTTATTTCATATTTTCTACTTTTACTATCTAGAATACTTATATCTAAGAACCTAACTTCATCTCAATGATCTTGTTTCAGATAAGCACATGGTTTCCGATTATTAACTAATAGCTAGGAGAAAATGTTCAATGATCATCGCTATTAGCTCAATGTTGAAGTCTATCAAGCACGCACTGTTGCACACTTTCTATTACATCCGACGTAATCGTGCAAGAGTAATACATTCTAATATAATCATTCCTTATTTTACAACAGACTTTCATATTTCTTGAACTCCGACCTGCCAATTTTTATATACAAAAAATTTTAATTTGTTTATCTAAAAATATATTATCATATTCTATAACTAGTGTACTTAAAATATTTTCAGAAATAATTTCTTACTTATGTAAGTCCTATATCGCATATAGTCTGCTCAATCAAGATTTTTAGCTTATATTTTATTTAATTGTTGAATGAGTGAAGTACTATTTTAATTCTAATGATCCACAATTTCAAAATACATTAACATTTCTATGAAATTTTCGTTATTGACTCAATGCTATTTCAGTTTTATTTCACACCAAAATATATCTTTCTACAAAGTAAGTGATTATCCACAGAGTAAATCGTAGGTATAAAAAGGACATAGACTGTCCAGTCTAATACATGCATAGCATAAGTAACGTTACGGTGTTTACCAATTCTGTTCAGATGTACATATATGTACGAATATAAAGTGTAATCTCGTGTTATTAAATGATGTTTCATCCTATAAGTTGTAAAATGTATTTAACATATTTATAAGAGAGCAACGTAAATAGACGTATATATAGTCTATTCGATATATTTATTTTGTAAAATTCTTTTTACAACTTTTAACATTTTTAAAATTAAGAAATTCTCCGCACGAAAATTAAAAAACGACTTTCAATCCTGTTTATTATGAAATCCTTACTATGAAAAGGATATATAACTGTATCCTTTCATAGTTACATTTTTATATAACTATAAAAAGCGACGATACATAATAATTGAGAGCTACAGACTTATTTAATTTATTGTTATATGCATGAGTAAATATCACTTTATTATATCACTTTTTATCAAATTGTTCTTTAATTAAAGATAAGCAATTATTTACATTACAAAATGTTCGTTACAATAATGAAGATATATAAGAAATAATTCTTTACTAGAAAATCGCTTGTAATGCCAGGAAAAGTCCAATAAAGACATACAAGTAACTTCGTTTGAAAAAGAGGAAATAACCTTGATAATACTGAAGTGTATTCATTCAAAGGAAAAATAAAACTAATGTATGTTGGAAAATATAAAAGCCTATGTAATATAGGTATCTCATAAAAGACGCACTTTCCATCCGTATATTTTGCCAGACTATATAAAAAAAATTAATACTAAACCGTTTTTAATACGCGTACAATTGTTTATGACAATGTAACTATTTTAGGAAAAAAATATTTTACTTAATATTATGAAATAAATGAGAATAAATATTACAATTATATTATTATATTATATTAAATATACA